ACACATTAGAAGAAAGAAAAGGTGTGCTGATTCGATTCTCCATGGGAAATGCATAGATGCCTGACCACAGTTAGTGAAATACTTTTGATTACATAACATGTTTTTCTTTTTCCATTTCCTCCACAATAGGAGCATACTTTGCCTTTTATGAAAACCTAATACTATAACGATCTCTGATTTGATATTTAAAACAAAAGCGCTTTAGCAGAGCAGCAATTTTTCATAGAGGCATGCTTGTAATAATATAAGATTTGAATGGTATGAATGTAAGTCTTTCAAAATAAAAATAAAAGCCCCTCATCCCTTCAAACATATCAAGCTTTTCATTGCTAGTTTTGGGAATTGTGGACTACTTAAAAGAAATAAAGGACAACCATATATACTGTGACTATTCCTTTAGTCAACCAATTAAACAGGGTATTTACGTACATACCCCCCAATTTCTATGTATTTACATATCTAACACCTTAACTTTACTTTTTATTTTTAAGTAATTAAGCTAATTACTTCACACAATACTTAAGATTCCCCGACAAAATTATCAAAGGCATAAGGAAGGCAATGCTGCCATTATTTTCTCTATAAATGTTGCATTTTTAACCATAACAAATCACTATAGCACCCATACTCTGACCCAAAACGGCCATAATTAAGAAGACGTCATGAATGAAAGTCTAAAACCTTTCCCATATCTCAAACCTCAGAGCAATGCTCTCAGTTGCTCACAAACAACATAGTGACAAGGACGGGAAAAATAAAAATAAGGAATGGGGGGCTATAGTTTATAATTATATTGCCAACATTTCACTCATCCAACATTTTACCAAAACAAAAACAAAAAAATTGCAAAGATGCATATTTCCTCTTCCAACGTTTTACTCAATATCTTTTGATCCCATGTTCCCACACATAAACTGAATATTATGAAGCCAATGACTGCCATCCAAACAATCTGTAAGGAAACAAGCTTAGATATATGTCATTTTATATGTGAAATATTCTAATATTTAATAAGAGTTGAGGTTCACCAGAGATAGAGTACAGAAATCTATAAATAGAATGCAGAAATCTGAAAAAAAGAATGCAGAAATCTAGAAATAGAATGCAAAAATCTGGAAATAGAAAGCAAATTTCTCACAAGTGTTGTGGTTCACCAGAGAGGAGATTGCAGAATTTCAGGAAAAATAAAACGCTGCTTGAAAATCTCATGGCATAATCCCATAAAGAATGATAACCGAGTTCCAAATCTCGTGCACTAAACTAGGGTGAAGAAGAAGTGAAGCTATAGGCGAGAGAATAGGTGTGTCAGAGAGGTTACCCGACGACCGAAGAAGAAGAAAGGGACAGCGTGCGAGAGGGTGGGAAGAGGCAAGGCGACTTGCTGGAACGGTTAGGGCACATGAGAGGGCAAGGACAGAATAGTGAAACGAATTCTCCTGTTCATGTTTACACAGGAACTCAAAACCTCGTTCAGGGCCGATTTCATCAAATGCGCGAATCAAACGAAATGAAAGTGTGGTTTGGAGGAAAAGTTGGATTTAAAAACTTAAACAAACTCAAACTAAATAATTGTCTAAGTGAGATGAATTCAAATTTATCAAAAACGACTTACTATGAGTCCACGCAAGTCCAATTCAAACATTCAAAATTAAATTATAAACTTCTCAAGATTATTTTGGGAATAAATATCCTCATAATCCTATAATTTTGTACTAAAAAAGAACCTCCAACAAATGAAGATGATGATCCCAAGATCATGGAAAATATGATACTGTTGGATCCTAAATTGTCCTTTGGAAAACAAGCTTCGAGAGTTAGAGCTGGGAGAATGAGTATAGAGAGAGGAAAAACACTAGTGAAATATCAGTAGAGAGGCCAGGGAAAAAGTCCTCAGACCCGGAGTCCCTTTATTCATCAACTGGTTTCCTATTTATAGAATGTCTTCTTGTACAATTACAGAAAGGAGAGAACGGTTATGGAAACAGTCCTCAACTACCAAAAGGATGGAGCAATTATGGAAATAGCCCTCAATGCAATCAATGTGCTGATTTAATACTAAATTTATATTACAATTTAAATTCAAAAATGGTGATAATTAGCTGGTCTATATGTTCTGGTCGACCAAAGGGTAGGGCCTCATGGGAATCGTTTCTATCGAGATATGAGCGGTCGATCGATCAGTTGCGTTCGATCGACGTTTAGGGAGTTTCGGCGGTTGGGACAGTAGATAGACCCGCCAACCAGATTCTCCGAGGGTGGACTTGATCAACATATTGACCTTTCAGATGACCGGTTCAAATCATGTTTCTTGAATTTAATACTTCGATCGTTGTGTCATCATCCTTAGCCATTTGATTACTTTGAGATTTGTGCTGACAATAATGGTGTGTACAAATACCAATAAATTTCTAAAACATTTTATAAGTAAGGGGTATCTAGCCTGAAAGTTTGATGGATTGTCTTGATTTATGATCAAAATGACCTCTACAAGAATCTATAAATTGCCTCTAATTTTAAGCTAAAGTTAACACCCATTGTTACAAACAAAGGTAACACCCAACATTGATACCAATGCCTATAATTGTCAACAATATCGTTACTAGTTGTCACTAAAAATACAAACACTCACCATCTCCGCCAAAGCTCTATATTTGTGATTGTCAATAAAATAGACATTTGCCATCAATATCAATGTTGAGTGTTATAATTTTTAATAATGACAAAGCATGTCATGATGTCAATAGCGTTCACCAACAAGGTACTTGCCCAGGTTGACATAATAAGAAAAAATCATGTGAGTGCTAATGCCTCTAAAGATTCAACAAGGCTCGAAATAACTTGGCTTATGAGCAAGATTTTTTTGCCAAACCTAAATTTCTACAACCATTATTTATCGATGTGCATCTCAAGCTAGTAAAATTTAGAGAATTGTTATTAATAAATCAAAACTTATATTTTATATAGATGCATGAATGAATCATACAATGAAAATGCAACATGTGAAAGGGATGTTCACACACAAAATTATTTTAAATTAATACATATACTATTTTTATTTAAAAGAAGAAGAACAAAAGTCTATTCAAAATATAATAGTATGCAAAATATGCCACGAACAGGGATACTCATGAATGGTAAATGATACATATACAGATGAGATCATGAGCATTAATATATAATTCGTATATAAGGCATGAATGATATGTATTCAAATGAATTATTTATAAGAGATTACTCAATTTTAGGATCAAATCCAATGTGGAATAAACTATATTAATATTTTGATTAAGTGGCAACGCTCGATAAATAATAATAATACTAATAATAATAATAATAAGTGATTAAATGCATGAAATTGATATAGATACATATTATATTTAAATTGATTTATTTTCATTATTTATTTCATGTTTAAATCATATCTAAATACTCATGTAAATAATTTAATTTAAGCATAATAACCGATAATAAATCAAATATCTAATTTAATTATCAAATCCGTTAAAAATGCATTATATACTAAATTAAAATTATTTGCAAAAATATTTTAACATTAAGATTATATTTTAATACTAATGAGAAAATGTAATAAAAACGTGATGACAACCAAATAGTGGTCAAATTATATTTGATCAAATAAATATTCAATATGATTATTAAATTAATTTTCTCAATTTTTAAAACTAAAATAGGCGTATTTAAAATTATATAGAATATTTTATCATTCGTATATATTTATTAATATATTATTCAAATGTGTTATTTTATATTATTATTAAATACTATTTAATTACACATAGATTAAACTTATTTTATATCTTTATTGAATATAATTTGACTATATATAAATTTATTCTATGACTTTTTTCTGAATGTATATTTACTTTTATATGAATTATATAAGCTTTATTTCCTTAATTTAAATCTCCAAATTTTTTTGGCATAAGAGATGCACGAATGGCAAAAAGAGGCTTGAGTTATGAGGTTCTCATTGTATATCAGCATATTCTCAACCATAAGATATCTCTACAAGCAAGTAAAAAGCATAACTTAATTCTCTACAGCAGCCCAAGGGCTCTAACATAAAAAAAGTGGTGGGAGTTGAAATAGTCACTTGTGCAGAGTTAATGAATTTTTTTTATTATTTAGAAAGACAGGAGGTAGTCGGAACAACACAAATATTCCTCACAAGCAACATGTAAGGATATATGCATTAAAATTATGATAAAATCAAATACAGGTTGTACATACATCAATATAATGACTAAAATACACAGGGACATTATGCAGAACAATGTGATTAGTAAGACAACACATGAATGATCAAATCCACAAAGAATCCATTCAACATCAAGCGAAATGAAAATCAAGGAGGAATCCCATTATCTCTTCACATATGAGCTTGCAAAAGCAACAAATGATATGCATTGCTTAGGGCCTTTAAATGAAGAGTGGCAAAATGCATTTGAAGTAAATTCTTAATAGGTTTGAAATCATAATATCAACCATTTGCCAACAGAAATTTGAACAATCAGAATTCAATTTCAAATGACTCGGGTTAAGATAAACAATGATTCCCAAGTATAGTAGCACCTAACTCCAATATCAAATGTATGCACAAAACATAAAATGATTCAACTAAGATCATTCGAGGAGATCAAACCATAGATTCCTTAGATTTGATTGATAAAAAAACATTAAAAGTAATCAATTAACATTTAATGAACATGAAATCAATTCAAACACACTCAAAAGATCGTTACAAAAATAATAATAATAATAATAATAATAATAATAAATATAACAGATTTTAGTGCGGTAACTATTAAGTAAATAAGCATTTGGTAGATGAGTTGACTCAGAAAAAATTCTTGATGATAATAGATCATTTCTAAATGCTCCCAGTTACACACAAATCCATCACAATAATTTATTTGAATGGATATCTTGAATTGCAGAGCCAAATGTATCAACCAAGTTTATTTAAAGAGAAATTATACCTTCAGGAAGGATGCTTGGATGAGACGTCAAATTTTTATGAGATGAGGAGGAGGAGGAGGTGCTGGCCGTCGAGGCCCGACGGGTGGCTTGGTCAAGTTACATAAGTGGTGGCCCAGATGTTGACAGGCTGCAACAGTAGCTGGAACGCGGATAACGCGAGGTCGGCAGCGGTGGCCAGACATGGAGGCCAGTGTACAAGAAATGGAGCTGAGCAGACACTGTTGCTCCTATGGGGAAATGCTTTAGAGAGGCAGGAGCTTAGCTTCTGCAACTTGGGATGAGGTGTGTGCAAAGAAGGGATCTCCTGTTGCTTGCTTACAAAGCTTGAAGAGGAGAACCCGCCACTTAGTGCGGCAAGCAGGGCTAACGCCTGAAGCTTGTCGACTGAAGCAGAAGATGAGACGGGCCTCACACAAGCAAGATATGGCGCCAAGAGGGTTCGCGCTTGGTAGTTTAAGCGTCGAAGGGGTAAGCCTGCCATTGTTGTGAAGGAGTGGGGACGGGGAAGAGCTGGGATAGCCGAGGAGATAAGGGAAGACCCGCTAGGGCAGTGCACTTGATGAACGGGAGTAGGCGAACACGAGCAGCCGTAGTCGTCCATAAGATCCATTATAATAATATTTAAAAGTTATTTTATATTAAAATATCATTTGAATTTAATTTAATAATTTTTATTATATTTTTAAATTAATATTTTTAATTGATTATAAATTCTAATGTTGTAGTCAATTAATCTTTTTTAAATACATATATATA